AGCGATTGATAAAAAGTTTTAGGAAACTGGATCTCTGGAAGCAAAACCTCGGAGTGGAAGACCATCGACATGCAAGTCAGTGGCTGTTACGGTTTTTCAGAATGCTGAAGCTATTGAAACGTTATCCACGTATGGAGAAGTAAGTGCTAGACAAGTTTCTCGACAAACAGGGATTTCGTATGGAACAGTTTGGAGAGAACACACATTTAGGATTTTTCTATAAAAATACCCTAACAAAATTCAAAGTTTTCACGAGTTGAAAGTGTGCGATTTTGAGAAGCGTCAAGAATTCGCTGCATGGGTTTTCCGGCAATTTGATATTGATGAAAACTGGCTGTCAAATGTTCTAAGAACAGATGATGCTCACTTTTATCTAAAGGAGGAATTTAACATTCAAATCTGCCACATTTTGGCAACAGAAAACCCTAGGATTTTTACAGAAATACCACTTCATCAGCATAGAGTTACAGTTTTGTGTGGGTTCACTTCTTCTTTTATTATTGGGCCATTTTCCTTTGAAAAAAATCAATGGAAGAATTTTAAAAACCGTTTTTCTAACTTGGTGAACGTTATGTTCAACTTTGAGAGAAAAGGGTATTCCCATATTGCAGGACAGACAAGCACTAAGCGAAATAACATTCATGCAAGTTGGAGGACCTCCTCATATCTCCCGCGGTGCCAAACAATTGCTGAAGGATACGTTCGGTGAAATTCGTTGATAAGTCGCCACTTTATATACCAGTGGCCTCCAATATCACCAGACTTGACGCCTTACAATTTCGGTTATGGGGGTACATTAAGTCGCGTTTTTATCGATGCCGGCCTACCACATTGGCCATGTTAAAGGCTTCTATCAGATAGCACGTTTTTTAAATTTCAACTATTTAATTGTGACCATTCTGTCATCTATCGTCTGCAGGCGGTGTTTGAGAATGAAGGGCGCCACATTGAGCAAGGATTGTGACCTAATACAACAGAGAAGGCAGTTACCTCATGTGTTATATTTTGCAGCTCTTTGTTTTGGGTTATGGAATAATAAATTCTGTCCTCACATCTTGACTCATTTTTTTCTGTGAGCAGTAATTTTTTGTTTGTCATTTGTCCACATCTTGTATTATGTCGTGCAGGCCAAAGTGTTATAACTTATCGAATAACACTGGTATACACAATTTTATCCCTTATGTTTAGTTTATCGCTTTTCGCTCATTAGAAGAAATAGCATAAGGAATATTCTCTGTATCCCCCCCCTCCCCCCCAACTTTAGAAATTTTGCTCAAAAGATAATACAAAATGATTTTACTACTACGTTTTTCAACGCAAAAGGTCGATTTAAAAATGATTTTTTTTGAGGGGATACATTTTCAAAATTATGTACAGTATAATAAACAATGATAACATTTGACAAACCCATAGGATATTTGGAATAAAGTACGACAAATATATTTTGTCACTCCCCTCTATATTTCATTTTTGGATCATGACAAATATCCAGTTAAATAGTCAAGTGCCGCCAATTAGTCAAGAAACTACACATTCCTTATAGCACGAAATCCTATTAGTAGTGCCATCATAATTTTTGGTACTATATTAACATTTCAAAAATCGTGTATTGATATCAGTAGTTATTTTCAAACATTCAATCTATTTAAAAAAACTCCATCTAAAATATAAATATTTTTTGCTACATGTTTTAATTTGCATATACCTATTTTACATATCTCAGATTGTATTTAAAAATCGTCAACCAATTCTTCTAACTTTTGGCGGAATGGTGTTTTATTAATTTATCATTTGATATTATTAGGGTTCTTTCCTGGTATTCAAAAAAGGAAAAATACGTGTCGTTCAGTTATATTTTTCAATTTATCAAACAACTTGGCCGCTGAATCTCTAATTCTGGTAGAGCGCCATCTAGCGAATAAAGTTGTAACTAAAATCAATTTCGAATTTTTCATTATTTGCCATAAAAAATCCCATTGCATCCTGAACACAATGGTGTTTACCGCATTGCTCTAGCGCAAATATTCGCAGAGTTATTAATTTTTAAAGTTGTGCGGGACTTTTGGATCACCCTGTATATATATTATAAATATAAAAATGAATGAGTCAGATTTTCTGCTTGAATTTAGATCATGTTGAAGATTATGGTATGGAAATGCAGTCGTGGTTGAAATCTTGAAAGTATGATAATAAAAACAATTTTGATCAGTAATTTAATTGAACTAAAGGAATATAAAAATAAAAACATAATTTGATAAAAGTGCTGCCTGGCTTAAGGCGAGTAGAATAAGGAAAACAAAAGATTATTTACATAATGTACAAACGTTTTGAGCCAGCCATTGGGATAAAACAACAACGAGTTTTTACATGCAAAGCGTGACCTCTGGCGGTCGATTTAGCAGAGTATTGGAATCTATGAAATTATAATTTAAAATAAAATAATATTTTTATAAAACATATATATAATAAGATAGTAAATAACGTGTAGATGAAATGTAAGGGGAAATATATAGTTATATATAATGCATAGCAATAACGCTCCATCTATATAATACAAATGAAAACACCAAAACGCGTGAATGTTTCTTTTCACAAAATAAATCAAATTTCTACTGTCCTTACTACGATGAAAAAATATTGGGAGAGTTCACCGCTGATAAGCCAAGCCCTTCCAATATTTTTTCATCGCAGTAAGGACAGTATAAGTTTGATTTATTTTGTAAAAAGAAACATTCGCGTCTTGGTGTTTTCATTTGTATTATACAGTTATATATGTACAAATTTCTTCAGCAAGGAAGGTTTCCCCACCTTGAGAGAGTTCTCCTCCGGACAAGGTCTTCTTGAACACTCCTCAGTTCCACACCGAGGAAGTACTAATAGATGTGTGTCTTGGCATACGCCAGGCTGACATGATCGAGGCCTCGCCCGAAGACCCAGCTATGCAGTCATGGGACCGCCTGATGATGTTGAAGGGCTACCAGATGAGAGGTACTATACTAAGCTTTAAGCCTAGATACTAAGCCTAGCTAATAGCTTTGCTTTATTAGCTTTACCTCTCATTTTTCTATTATTACTCTCTTGCTGGTAAACATGTCTCATACATTTTTGCATATAATATATGCAACATATTTACATATTGCTAACTCTGTTATATAATCTATGCAAATTCATTGCCGCGGTATATATAAAATAATTACATTTGCAGCAGAATTTCTGGTAATTTACGTCAGTTGAAAGGACAACAAATTTCATATAAAAGAGACTTTTTACCTTCACATTTGATATAAGTTTTATCTCAACATTGAATTGAGAGATCCTGTCCTTGTCTGGAGGAGTCTCCCTTCCTGAGAACATCTGTATATATGTAATATGAACAATTTTATTTCATTTTAAATTATTGAAGGCCTGCATCTCTATCCAAAAGAATAGCATCAATAAGATAATCCCAGAAATTAACCATTTATTAATGCAATAGTCAGGTATTACAATATTCTATTTCAGTCGCACCCTATTTGCTTATTTCTCAATATCATTCTAAGATTGTTTTCTTACCACAAATATATAGATTTACATAACTGGTTCTCACTTCGTAATTCTATCTGCCATCATGTTAGTTACATATTTACATATCACTCTCATTGTACATCTACATATTGTCATACATTATGTTTTATCTTCACGTCCGTTGATGAACGATGTCTTTGGAAAGCTAGAGGAATGTTCTACACAAGAAGATCCCTTTTGTTCTTTTATATTATCGCATTATAGTCATGGTAATCAAAAAGTTGTTCTCTACATCATTTTAAATTATATACTAGATCAAACTACTCTGTAAATCGACCGCCAGATGTCGCGGCTTTCCCTATATAAACTCATTGTTATTTCCCGTTGGCCGACTCAAATATTTTTGTAAATATGTAAAATAGGTATTTTGTTTTTTTATTCTACTTGCCTTAAGTCAGGTAGTACTTTCTCAAATTATGTATTTTATACTTCATTAGCATAATTAAAGTAATATTGTTATCTGAAATGTTTTTATTTATATTTTCAAGATTTTCCACGACTGCATACCCATATAATACTCATATACTCTATAACAGTATCAAAATCAATTAATCTCTCATATTGACCAAATATAATCTATCATAACATTGTTTAATGTCATCAAATTGTTAATAATATCATTTATCTTTGTTTAATTTCTCATTAGATTTTGTAACGATTGACAAAAGTGTCAATAAAAAGTGTCAATTGTCAATTGTTCTTCACATTTTCCTCATGGCATATCTTCTCGGTGATTACTTATTGCAATATAACTCTGATGTAACACCGAGCCAACTTTAAAATAGAGTTTTATGTCAATAATGCCAACCTAATATATTTTAACAAAGTATTTATTAATTTTTTTAACTGAGTGGTCATTTTTATGTTTATATTTTGCTACTCTGTAAATTTCCCTCGTGGCTTATCTTTTGTTTACAAACTCATAGTTTGTTCTTGCCTGAAATAAATTGTTGTCTCCTCCTGAAGTTTGTTTTTCCTAATTTTCCACGTGGCAATATCACTTCGATTCTGATGTAATTGATGCGATTGTGTTATGAATGCTGTAGTTTTGAAGTGGCTGATTTCGCACTAATTCAAAAGTCTTTGAATATAATTTGTAACACAAGAGGTATAAAACCATTCACATACATAAACACATTACAGAACTATAATATTATAACGTAGAAATCAAGTCTTGTAATATCTTAAGATGTAAAAGTAGTTATAATACAATATAATGCGGCTTATGATTGTAGAACGACATTTGAAATTATCCCGCATGTGTTTCTTTGGAACGAAAAAAAATGAAATTTATTTTAAGGAGAAATAACGGTTATTTCTAACCTTAGGGATGAGGTATATAAAGATGAATTGTGAAGAGTAATGATAAACGGAAAAATAAAGTGTCCAGGGATAGGAATCGAACCCACAGTGTTCCGCTTACCGGGCAGATGTCATGTCCACTAGGCTACCCAGTACATAGTGGACATGGCATCTGCCCGGTAAGCGGAACACTGTGGGTTCGATTCCCATCCCTGGACACTTTATTCTTCCGTTTATCATTACTCTTGACAATTCATCTTTTCATACTTCATCCCTAAGGTTAGAAATATTCGTTATTTCTCCTTAAAATAAATTTCAATTTTTTCGTTCAAAAGAAACACATGCGGGATAATTTTCAAATGTCGTTCTACGATGTAAAAGTATATATTGATGACGTCACCAGTCGACAATTATCAACCAAACTATCTACAGCTAGAGAATATCGAGCAAGCTAGGCAACATAAATGATGATTTTACAAGTATAAAGTAATAAAATCTGTTTTAAATATTATCATTAAATAATTAATTATTTCTTTGCCACAATTTGATACATTAGCGCGCCATCTGTTATCAAAATTCGAAACTATTATAGACGTGTATGATTGTTTTAAAAATTAAACAATTTCTACTGCCCTTACTGTAATGATAAAATTAATGGGAGGATCTTGCTCATTATTGGTGAACCCTACCAGCGGTTTAGACAATTTATTCTACCATACTGTAATGAAAAATGAATGGTAGATTAAACTGACAAAACCGCTGGAAGGGTTCACCATTGATGAGCCAGGCTTTCCCATTAATTTTATCATTACAGTAAGGGCAGTAGAGATTATTGTTTAGTTTTAAAAAGAATCATACGCGTCCTTAATAGTTTCGAATTCTCAAAGTACAGAAATACTAATCTTATCACGTAATAAATACTCCTAGGTCGGTACACCTTTGAGTCAGAAGAGTCAAAAAAATTACAATTTACAAAATTTTAAAGTTTTTGAAGAGCCACATAATATTTTCTTGCCAACAATCAATAGTACTCACATAAATAATATTTACGTATGGAACTATATAAAGAGCTTCACATTCAAAGAGCTTCAGCTTCACATTCAAAGAGCCATAGCTTCACATCCAACGAGCCATAGCTTCACATCCAAAGATCCGCAGCCTCACATCCAAAGAGCCATAGCTTCACATCCAAAGAGCCATAGCTTCACATCCAAAAAGCCGCTGCTTCACATCCAAAGAGCGATAGCTTCACATCCAAAGAGCCGCAGCTTCGCATCCAAAGAGCCGTAGCTTCACATCCAAAGAGCCGTAGCTTCAAATTCAAAGAGTCGTAGCTTCACATCCAAAGAGCCGTAGCTTCACATCCAAAGAGCCGTAGCTTCACATCCAAAGAGCCGTAGCTTCAAATTCAAAGAGCCATAGCTTCACATCCCAAGAGCCATAGCTTCACATCCAAAGAGCCGCAGCTTCAAATACAAAGAGCCGCAGCTTCACATCCAAAGAGCCATAACTTCACATCCAAAGAGCCGTAGCTTCACATACAAAGAGCCGCTGCTTCACATCCAAAGAGCCATAGCTTCACATCCAAAGAGCCGCAGCTTCACATACAAAGAGCCATAGCTTCACATCCAAAGAGCCGCAGCTTCACATTCAAAGAGCCACAGCATCACATCCAAAGAGCCATAGCTTCACATCCAAAGAGCTTCAGCTTCACATACAAAGAGCCATAGCTTCACATCCAAAGAGCCATAGCTTCACATCCAAAGAGCTGCAGCTTCACATCCAAAGAGCCGCAGCTTCACATACAAAGAGCTACAGCTTCACATCCAAAGAGCCGTAGCTTCACATACAAAGAGCCGCAGCTTCACATCCAAAGAGCCACAACTTCACATTCAAAGAGCTTCAGCTTCACATCCAAAGAGCCATAGCTTCACATCCAAAGAGCCGCAGCTTCACATCCAAAGATCCGCAGTTTCACATACAAAGAGCTACAGCTTCACATCCAAAGAGCCGTAACTTCACATACAAAGAGCCGCTGCTTCACATCCAAAGAGCCGAAGCTTCACATCCAAAGAGCCATAGCTTCACATCCAAAGAGCCGCAGCTTCACATCCAAAGAGCTATAGCTTCACATCCAAAGAGCCATAGCTTCACATCCAAAGAGCCGCAGCTTCACATCCAAAGAGCCGCAGCTTCACATACAAAGAGCTACAGCTTCACATCCAAAGAGCCGTAGCTTCACATACAAAGAGCCGAGCTTCACATCCAAAGAGCCATAACTTCACATCCAAAGAGCCGTAGCTTCACATACAAAGAGCCGCTGCTTCACATCCAAAGAGCCATAGCTTCACATCCAAAGAGCCGCAGCTTCACATACAAAGAGCCATAGCTTCACATCCAAAGAGCCGCAGCTTCACATTCAAAGAGCCACAGCATCACATCCAAAGAGCCATAGCTTCACATCCAAAGAGCTGCAGCTTCACATACAAAGAGCCATAGCTTCACATCCAAAGAGCTGCAGCTTCACATCCAAAGAGCCGCAGCTTCACATACAAAGAGCTACAGCTTCACATCCAAAGAGCCGTAGCTTCACATACAAAGAGCCGCAGCTTCACATCCAAAGAGCCGTAGCTTCACATACAAAGAGCCGCAGCTTCACATACAAAGAGCTACAGCTTCACATCCAAAGAGCCACAGCTTCACATTCAAAGAGCCGCAGCTTCACATTCAAAGAGCCACAGCTTCACATCCAAAGAGCCGTAGCTTCACATCCGAAGAGCCGTAGCTTCACATACAAAGAGCCGCAGTTTACCGACACCTGCTCTAGAGAGAAGAGCAGAACGGTATGAAGAGACAAACAGAGATGTCTGGTACAGAGCTGTAGAAGCTGAGTGGTTTAGACTAGAAATTTCTCCAAATGAAATTCCCCACCACTTGTTGGAACGGGACAAAACGAATTATCCATCTCTAACTTAGTTTACATTCTCTTTCAAGAACTTTCTCTAAGTGGGAATCTACTTAGCAACATTCAGCGGGAATATTTCCATACTGAAACCCACAGTCGCACATATGCAAATTACATTTTCGAAATGTGTCAATGTAATAAAATGGAACTATTCTTTCGCTGATAAAATTGATCATCAGTGAATAAGGAAGTTAAGTGTTGTATACATATATAAATAGATGTTATATTAAAATATTATTTTATTCAAAATTATATTTCATCGGTTAAAATATTCTGTTTAAACCGACCGCCAGAAGTCACGTTTTCCCTTTAAAAACACATTGTTGTTGTTTCCCGATGGCCTTTCCCTGGCCTGGGGAATCTAACCTTTTTGAACAGCCTTGGTTGCGTGCAGCACCTTGGTACTTTGATATTGTGCATTGCGGCTTGTCTGCCTGCTACACCTTTTGGGCTTAAAAATCATATACTTTAATCATTGCGGTATGTCTGCTCTCCACGGTCACCCCTGAGCTCAACACCATTCAACCCGTCTCTGCTACACCCTGAACTCCGCGGATCACCACCCTGCTCCCCCCCCCCTGATCCTCCTCTACATCCTGGCACTCCTGGCCTCACCTGGCGATGATCCCCTGGCCACCCATCCCCAGGCCCCTCCAACTGTGCTTTATCTATATTCCGCTTTATACGTTCATCGGGGCTCAAAAATCATTCATTTTGGTTAGCAGGCTCGTAAAATAAAGATATTTTCTCTTTTCCCGATGGCCGACTCAAACCTTTTGTACATTATGTAAATAATATATTTGTTTTTCCTTGTTATACTCGCCTTAAGCCAGGCATTACTTTTATCAAATTATGTTTTTTATATATTCCTTTAGTTCAATTAAAGTAATATCTGATCAAGACCATTTTTAGTATATACTTTCAAGATTTTCAACCATGATTGCATTACCATAGCATAATCTTCAAGATAATCAAAAATCAAACAGAAATCTCTTTTTTTTTATAACATATATATAGATATTAAAAACAAAGAAGGCATATCCTGACCACTAGCACATGTGCTTTCAGAAGGCAGAGCGCCATCTAGTGGAACCGAAATCAACTAAACATTGATTTAGCCTGTTCCCTGATATTTGGCCAACCCATTGTCTTGATAAATCAAGAAAAGTCATCCACTAACACATTTCAGGCTGTTAACCCTCGTCAGCGTGGAGTAAGCTGTACCATTTTTTCTATTGTTTTTTCATATATATTGTAGTGTGGTTGATTTGTTTACATAATTTTTAGATTGTATTGATTTACATAAGTTTTTAATTATGTCATATTTAAATATACAAGTATCAGAGTCATCAACAATCAATTCTGTCATCGTTTGCTTTTGTGAATGGAACAAATACCCAAATATGGCCATTTCTTATAAGCATCGGTGGTTCAGTGGTAGAATGCTCGCCTGCCCCACGGGCGGCCCGGATTCGATTCTCGGCCGATGCATTTTTTTTAACAATTTTTAAAACTCATTTATATTATTATTACTAGCCCAGCATGGCATAGAGGAGTAACCCTCAGTAAAAAAATCTACATAAAAGAAGGAAAACTTCTAACCCGTGTGATAGCACGTAGTTAAGTAATGCCCTTAACCTGATGAGTGCCAAGGCTAGGCCGAAACGTTGCTATCACTTTTACATAATATTTGAAATCTAAAATGTTCGAGAATATCGTTTTTTTGTATGATTTTGTTCGAAGAACAAACAGGGTCTTCTTGTAGCTGTATAAATGCGTGTAGATTTTAAGGTAGACAGTTAGAGAGAATAAAGTTTGGTTGGGTTTACTTCTCCTCGTGTCTATTTGTTTAACGAGACAATATATACACAAGTGTATACTTCCATTGAAGTATAGGGCGGTTCTCCCGTCAAAATAGACGTCAAAGCTAGACGCCATCTATTGACCGTCGCCGCAAACTAGCGACCTCGGGTTGATGACAAAGCCACAACACCAGCTTTGGCAAACTGATAAGCGTCCACCTAGAGACCATGGTTTCGGGCAGTGTTGGGCAAATATTAATTAAAATGATTTATTAAAGATTAACAATTGATTAATTGTTAATTGTAATTTTCACAATTAACAATTAATCAATTGTTAATTGCACTTTTCTAATTAACAATTAATAAATTGTTAATTGCACTTTTCAAATTAACAATTAATTAATTGTTAATTGCACTTTTCAAATTAACAATTAATTAATTGTTTAGAGAAAT